GACCTTCGCTCTGTGAATTGTGCCCTATCTAGGTGCCGTTTTGCGATCGCTTTTGCGATTGCAAAAACAGCACCATTGCGCGGATTCGTCGCTCTACGGAGCGACCGTTCTGCGAGGCACCACTGTATTCTAAGACTGGCTGAAATCCTAACACTTAGTGCAGTGAGTTTCACTAGAGACGATCCATTGAGTCAGTGAGAGTTTGGTGAATCAGCTGCTCCCATTTCTTCAAATGGGTGTACTCTAATTGTGACTTACTGTATTAAATTTAGTCACAACTACCGTAGGCTCACTTGAATCACTGAAACTTTGGAGGAGTTGACTCACCAAATCTCATTTGATTCAGGAAGCCAATTCTAGTGCAACATACTACACTTAAGTAATGAGATTTCAGCCAGCTACACATAATGTCAACTTGGATTGCTTGCAGTCTTGATACAGTATTGTAGGTCACTGTATTACATTATTACAACAGAGCCATGTTTGATTGTTTAAGTCAAATAATACTGAATCCTGCAGAAGCTGTCATGTATGGTCATATTTCAGTATCTCTTATTACAATAGGCATACTGGTGGGTCTTGTGCTTGTTTCACCTAACTAAATAGATGGTGATGATCATTATCTGCACTTTCATTGTGAAAACTACTTTGTTATTTAAACATGATTAGATAAGTCTTTTTGATTGAGGTTATAGTATTGTTGATATCTGTAAGTTCATTCTCTCTTTTGCACATCTGTTTTTGGTAAAGTTTAGTTGACAGTAACAATTTCAGCTTCTTAAGTGGGACACAAAGCTTTGCCATTACTAAGCTTTACTCTGTCCTGTGTATCTGAGTTGTTTCCTTGGTATAGCAATCCTCTTTTCTCTATGTAAATACAGATTTATTTATTTTTGTTTGTCCTGTTTCTTGTTAAGTATGATTATGGAATGTTTCTTAGTAAGTCACTCCAACACTCCCTGCTCTCATTGCTAAAAATAAATTGCTAATTTTAGAACAGCCGTGATTACTTTTTCTGGAAGACAGCAAGTTCACAGTTACAGTTGCTACTTTTGGCAAGTTTCCTATCATTTTAAATGTTAAAACATTTAGACAGAAATGATATGTATAATCAGTTTCAACATCTGGAACTGTGGTAAATAGCCGTTTTCTACTTCATTACAAAGCATATAAGCAGTATGCATAAATTTAAGAGTAATATTAACTCAACTATTTTCTTATTTGACTTTCTTATAATCAGTG